CATGAGATTTATGTGTTGGAGCTTGTCTCTACTGGCTTCATGCAAAGTAAAATTAGGCTGGTTCCATGAACAGTCAATTAGTTCTTGGGCAGAATGAGCAACAAGAATTTGTTAGCCTAATCAATAATTGATTAGTTCGTTTAATTGAAAGTAGGTTTAGAATTTTGCAGCTATATCCAATGTTTTTCTCTTCTCTTCATTTTGTACACCCGCAAATTGGGGAAGGAATAAATTTTGACTTTTGGGTTTTTTAAAAACCTCTAAAGTAAGTAGCAGTTAGCAGTCATATTCTGATATTGGCCTTTTTATTTTGGATTTTCCCCCATGTTAGGATATTCCAGGAAGATGATGCTACCCATATAACTTTGAAAAAAAGATTTTTCCATGGGCATAAAAACTTCTGTTCCCGAATCTTCAATTTACCTATTTTAGTATCGCCAACAACGGAAACGTCGAGCTGGAATATCGGGTGGGTCCGTGCTAACAAAACCGAGAAGTACTGGTCGGTTAGCTAACGCCGGTGATAGTGGATGCAGTAGTGCTGGTATTTCTAACATCTTCAAGCACGTAGATTGTTGTATCACAGGAGTCTTACCTTCTGTTGTGATTTTCATATATGTTTAACTTAAGGAACAACTTTATCCCAGAATTTGTTTTTGTGCAAAAAAAAACACTTGAAATCCAGACTGCTGCTCCCTCTATCGCATTTTTGTCGACATTAACCTTTTGTGATGTTAGAATTGTTGAATTATTTTTGTCAACTCACCTGCATGACTTTCACTCGCACCTCTTTTAATGTCCATATATGGGCCATCTGTGTAATCCGTCTTTTTTGTGTGAAGTTCACAGATGTTTAATTATTGCAGGTATTGCCACCGGTCATGGTCTAACACTCGGCGGACGATCACCACAATCGTCATTCGACTCGAATACTGATGTGGCACAGGTAAGATTGCATTGAGTTTCACTTCTCATATGCGTCTCTTTGATTTTGTTTTTTATTACTAAATTCCTTTAATGCAATCAAATAACAACACGATTTTTTCCCAGTGAAAACCTCTTACAATTGTCTCCAAAAATATCCTTTAAGGATAGAAATTGCTGTTAGCCGCTCAAAGTTAAATGATTTCAGCATAAATCAAAAAGCGCGAAGAGTAAAGTTAGGCTGCAACTAGCCCCTGGGAATTAGATTTCTTGATCTCCATTATAGTCCTGTCGTAAGAAACTATGAATTTAGAAAATTATACTTATCAGTATTTTTCCTATTACCAAATCCAATGCTTAGATCAAACTTTTAAGACATTGTGTATGAAGTCCTTTAAAAGTTAACAAGTTTTGCTTTTACACAAATGAGTGCAAGATTATGAAATATATGCAGTACAAAAATATGAACATGCCTTAAAAAGTTGCCAACTAACATTTAGAGTCAAATTAGGACATGGCGAAAACTGGTCTTCTAGCCGATAAATTGGGGAGAGCAGCTTTTAACGCTTCCTGATCTGTTGCAAATTTTGAGGTCTCTAAATAATTTCACGTCCTGCCAAATTATATCTCTAAAGGCCAAGCTGAGTTTACGAGAACTGGTACCCATTCTTCAGCCAAACGCAGCAATCATCAGCATCTTTTAGAAACCTCCATCAGATTAATATATTAACAAATTCGTCGAGATTCATTCAACTTTATTAAGCCTTTGTGAATGTAGATTCATTTTTCTTCGAGAATTTTCATTATTCCTGTTCTATTCTCGCTAAACTTAGAAAAACAATTTTACGTTGTAGCAGAAAACTGCAAATTTTTGAAGTATATGAGTTCCATGTCATAATATGACGTGATCCCTTCTTGCAACAGCTTGGGTTGTAGCCTCTCTCTTGAAACAATAATTTTGCATATCAGATAACTTGAAGAAATATTGATCTGGTAGCTGTGGATTTGTTAAGTTTCCTTGAGCGCTATTTTTAATTCTTACAAACTTGATTGGACCTTAAGCTCAAAATCATCTAGGGTACTAGTGATCTGCCTAAAGTTTAGGGTACTGTAGTATCCTTGTTATGCCCGTATGCTTATTTTTGACATGTTGCAGATTTCTATGAACTGGATGAGGATGAACGGTTTGGGCACAGGTGCAGTACGTCCACTCCTAACTGGTGGGAACACCACGGTTGCCAAGGTAAGGAGTCTTTCTTATTCGTTTTCTACATCAACATGGAACTGTTACTATAGAGGAACGAAAGAAAATTGGAAACTACTCAGTTTCTGAGAAAAATACTACAAAGATTATGTTACATAAAATAAGAAGCTGTTTGGGTGTGAACCCGGTCCCTTAAAGTGATTAGTCGTTGTGTTCTCAAAGCAGGTAATCTGCAGATTATAAGCTTATAAGCAAATAACGAGCGCCAAAAACATGCAGGAACCAGTCCTTGAACAATTTTAACCGTTGCTAATCACTTTACCTGAAAAGTTGGACCTTTTTCTTATTTCGTCCATCTTATCATCAATAATGTTTGAGGAAAATTGTGTACATGCAATACATAAGTAATCCATCTCACATAAACCTTGGTTGTGTGGGCTATCAAGTGGAATAACTTTCTATAAATTTTAAACATATTTTTCAAAATCTTGTTTTTTTTCCATGTGATTGTTACTTCGTCCAAAGTGATGTCTGTGAATCAAACATGAGTTAGAGATGGCAAATTAAATGTGAAATTTAGTGAGAGCTAACCATTACTGCTATAACAATATCGAAACAGTATTTCATCAGCTCTTCCCTTATTGTAAATTATGAAACCAAGTTTTTGATTTACGCCACCCTTCACACGAATAAGCAGGCGAATAGGTTGCTGGAGACCAATTCTCGTGCTAAACTAGCTAGAGTTAGAGACTTCAGCACCACGAGACGCATCAATTTTGATTTTAAAGAGTCGATCAATAAGCAATTTAATGGAAAGCAAACTTGTTGTCTAGAGACCAGTTTTCGTAAAATCAGAAAAATGAACAGATACATTTTTTGTGGGCATATATTTCAACGATCAAAGAAGATAAATTGGATGTTTTACAACTGTGTTTTTGGAATCATCATCACATCGAGGCTGAGATGTGTTTTCGACTAGAGCAAAATATCTAGAAGATTAAATCAAAATGATGCATTTTAGAGAATAACTACAATATTTCTATTAATCTGTTATCCCTATGTAGGTAAGATCAGTGGCAATAAAGAAACATTCTAAATAAACGATAAGCAGAACAAAAAGTAACATTCGCAGTTCAACTCAGTAAAATGAAAAGCAACTGATGAAGGTAGCAGACGGTTTCTCAAAACATTTTGAATAATGAAAGTTTCTTGGGAATAACTTTT